TAATTATAATATTATTATATGATACTAAAATTACATTATTATGTATTATGAAATAAAGTTTTTTTAATTTAAAAATTTATTTATAATATTATATGTATTTATTTATTTAATATCATATCATATTTTATTTAATGTTATATAAAATAACAAATTTATAATTTTATATAATATTATAATTATAATATTATTATATGAAAAATATTTAGATGTAAATATTTCCTCTTAAAAAATATAGTGATCATCTTTTTTTTGTTGAAAATAAAATATCTTGAATTTACATAATATACGAGTGGGATAAGATAAAGGTCGAGAAATAATTACTTCTTACATGATATTTTAAATAAAAAGATAATTATCATTAATAGATATGATAAAAATAAATAAATCTTAACAATTGAAAGTAAATAAATAAATAATCAAAATTTTATATAAATATACTATATAAAATTTATATATAAATAAATTTCTATTCATATATATACACACACGTAAATGCATTCGTATATCCCCTCTACTTGTTGGAAATAAATTCCTCCTTTCGATCTTAGAAATTCTCCTCTTTAATTAACAACTCTTGTGTTGCAATGTATTTTTTATTTCTTAAATATTGGAGTTATCTTTCCTCACTATTTTCAAAATGGATATAAATATTCATCTTTTTAATCAAATTGTGTATCACAAAAATTATAAGTGCATGTCTGTATTATTATTTTTCACAAAGTACTTTTGCAATACCCCTTTCTCATTGAGTAAAAACTTATAACAAATTAAGAAAATGCTTGTAGATGTACTACAATTACATAAATTGTTTAGATATACTAAAAATATATGATCAATATTCATTCATGTTATATTTATAATAAGAACTTTCAAATTTTTTTGCCAACTTATTTACCTTTTGTTTTTTTAAAAAAAAATTTAAGCCCATGACCACATTCATAGCAACCATTACCATATGATGGACATTCACTTTAAGAAATGAAATGAAATCAATAATTCTTGATTGATGAGTTTTCATAAAAAATTTATGATTTTATTGCAACAAGAAAACACATTTATTTTGAATATATATATTAAAAACTATCCTCCCAAGATTGCTATTGCAAAAGTATATCTGAGATATGAAAAGAAAAAATATCATCTTAGTATATCTTCATCAATAATCATTTTCTTTCCATTAAGTAATTCAAAATGTTTGTGAATCCTCATGCATGTTAAAAAAAAAAAAAGTTTGTGAATCATGTACTTAAAAAATAAATAAATTCATTCATAACTAAATTTTTAGAAAAATTATAAATTTTTATGATCATTTTTCTTTCAAATTATTTTATAATTTCATTGAATTATTCATAATTATTTATTCATCTTTTTAAACTCAAAACTA